TGGGACCTTCTGCACACCAAGCAGATGCTCTACCACTGAGCCACGGCTTCTGCCTCCAGGCCTATCCTGAAGGTCTCTTGGAGGCGTCTGGCTAGTTTTTTTGTCTTGATTCGCCTCAGGGAGATTCTGATGTTCTTATGGTGGAAAAAGGCTCCAGATGAAGCCTTTGCGGGCTCTGCCATCTTTGCTTCAGGGCACAGTTTGCCAGATGCCTCTTCTGTTTTCTGTGTGGTCGATACATTGAGACGCATTGTCTTCCCGGCCGGGACATTCGTGCCCCTCTGGACTTTTGTCCAAGGCAAGAGGCCAACTGTGGGGCAGACTGCACAAGACTGGGGGAGTTTTTGTCAGCCAGTGACAAATTCTTTCCGCGAAAGCCAAATTCTGTGAATTGGGGATGTGGTTGGCAAGCTAATGATGGAAGAGCAAACAAAAAAAAACCCTGAGATATGATGGAGGAATTGCTATAAATAGTCATTTCCTTATCCATTAATCATGAAGGAAATTTTAATTTATACAATGACTACTCTGTTCTCTTTCCCCATTGGGCAGAGTTGGGTGGGCTCTCTGGTACTGTTTGGATGTGCCTCTAGCATTCCAGTTTGACATGCTGCAAAAAGTTCTGTGGCCTGGAGGTTAAACAAGTCCTTGAAAATAGGTCTTAACAGATTATCTGGACTGTATGAGGTTCACGTTAGGTCATCATTGGAGGTTCTGTTTCTCAGTTCCTACTGTAAGTGCAACAGGTTGCCGTAATAAGCAGGGCCTTATCAGTTGTAGCACCCTCCTTAGAGAATTCTCTATTCAAAGAGGATCAGAAGGGATTTGGAATGTGTTCCCCCTGTCCTGTTCTTTTCAATATCCCTGGAGGTGCTGTTGGAGAGCAGGTACTTTATGATGGCTAAAAAAGGTAGCTGTGGTCTGGGAGGTTTCCATTCCAAATGCTGTTGCTGACACCAACTGACTAGGTGGTCCTCAGCAAGACCACTCACTCTGAGCCTCCTATGTCTGCAGTAAGGAGATACTAGTATTTTACAGGGCTGTTGTGGGAAAACAAACTGAAGATGAATCCAGATAAGACAGGGATGATGCTGGCTGGACTACATACTGCTTTAAACAGGATTGCTCTTCCTACTATGGTGCACAGCTTTAACTGAAGACTAAGTGCTTACAGTTCTTGTTGGAGAAAAAAGTTTCCATGATAGCAAAAAGTGTATGTGTGTGTGTGTCCCCCGCTGGGTACATCTAGTGAGGAACCTGGCTTCCTATTTGCAGATGTCCGATTTGGCTATGCTGATCCATGCTTCAATCACATCAAGGCTAGATTACTGTAGCACACTCTACATCGGGCTGCCCTTGAAGATGATCTGGAAGCTGCAGCTGGTGTTGCTTTCATGTTTGTTTTATGAAACAGTTTTGTGTTGTTTTTACACCGTTGTTACCCACCTTGCTCCAGGGGTGCCTGGGAGAGAGGCAGGCACATAAATATTTTAAATAAATAAATGTGTGCAAAGCACATTTGAACACTGAAACGGCTAGGGAAAAGCTAAGCGTTATGAACTTTTCCTCTCTGACGTAAATCTTCTCAGCTGTCCAGTCACATCTGGGTGGAAACCGTGTTTTCAAGACAGTTTCAAACATTCTGGAAGCGATATCCTGGCTCAAGAGAAGGCCCCGGGAGAGTCTTTCAATGGGGAAAGAACAGGAAACCAGCTGCATTGTAGCCTGCCAGGGGAGTGACCCAGGACTGACAGTAACAGTTCTCCAGAGATGCTCTGCTCATCCAGGGATAGTTGGATATCTGAAAAGCCTGTGCTTGTAAGTAATTATCGCACTGGTTTATATCCCCTCCCCTGCCTCTTCTTCCACTAAAACTGTGACCAGTGTAGAGCAGGGGTTAGAGGGTCAGACTGGGAGATCTGGGTTCAAATCCCCATTCCACCATGGAAACATGCTGGGCAACCTTGAGCCAGCCAACCCCTCAGCCGAACCCAACTCACAGGGCTGTTGTGAGGGTAAAATGGAGTAGAGGGGAGAACCATGTACCCGGCCCTGAGCTCCTGGGGGGGAGAGGTGTGCAAAAAAAACCCCCAGCACTAAGTAAATGTTAACAGTACAAGGGCCCAGCAGGGTAGGTTAGTCTGAGCCAAGCTGACGGGCCCAAGGTCACCAAGTAAGCTTTAAGGAGGAGCGGTGATCTGAATGCCGGTCTTCAAATCCAGCATGCCCTGCCAGGTTTATATTTCCCCCTCCTTGTCCCTCCAGGAAGCACAGGTGGCATACCTGGTAGGTTAGGATGAGAGAGGGAGGGATGAGGCTGGCCCCAGCTCACTCATATGCAGAATCTGAACCCGGGTTTCCCTGATCTGTCCCATGCTCTGTCTCTGACGGGGCAGACGGGGAAGTTAAAAAGGCCCAGAAGCAACCAAGCTCAGCAACCCCTGCAGGAGGCCCAACCACTCAGACCCGGCCAGCAACACTGACGATAGCTGTGGCTCACCCATGTCCACCTCCTGCGCCAGCAGCAGTGTGAGAAGAGGCAGCTGGTGAGTAAACATCAGTCACTGCTGCTGCAGAAGGGTCTGAGCCCAGCTGCCCCTGAGGTGCTGGCAGAGCTGCCAGGGTCTGGTGCTGCTTGCCTCACTCCAGTTTGGTGTAGTGGGATCTGGGAGAACCGGGTTTGATTCCCCACTCCTCCACATGCAGCTGCTGGTGTGACCTTGGGTCAGTCATAAGTTCTCTCAGAGCTGTTCCCTCAATGGCAGTTCTCTTAGAGCTCTCTCAGCCCCACCTACCTCACAGGGTAGGGTGTCTGTTGTGGGGAGGGGGAGGGAAAGGGATTATAAACCACTCTGAAACTCCTTCAGGTAGTGAAGGGAGGGGGATAAATCCAATCTCCTCTTCTCCACCAGTAGCCCTCCGGGGCAGTGACCCACCAGGACTGTCCATTTGCCTGGCTGGTTTGTTGCCTGTTTTTCCGGTTGTTTAAAAAGAAATCAACCCTGACTGCTCCCTGGAAGGCCAGATACTGAAGCTGAAGCTCAAATACTTTGGCCACCAAATGAGAAGGGAGCACTCACTGGAGAAGACCCTGATGCTGGGAAAGATGGAAGGTCAAAGAAGACGGGGACGGCAAAGGATGAGATGGGTAGACAGTGTCATAGATGCAACCAACATGAAATTGAGCAAACGTCGGAGGACAACGGAAGACAGGAAGGCCTGGCATGATGTGGTCCATGGGGTCGTGAAGAGTCAAACTCAACTGTGCGACTGAACAACAACAACAAAACATTTAAGATATCTTGAATCAGGAAGAGTTTGTGTATGGCTCAGTGGTAGAGCATTTGCTTTGGAGACAGTCCCAGGCTCAATCCCTGGCATCTCCGGTTAAAAGGATCAGGCAGTAGGCAATACGAAAGACCTGGACTTAAAATCTTGGCAAGTCGCTGCCAGTCAGATGGGACAGTAGGGGCCTTGGAGGATCTGATCCGGTGGAAGGCAGCTTCATGTGTTTTCCTCTTATCAGAAACCATCCTCAATACTAATGTTAGGTGAAGGGCAGGGGCAGCATTTTAAAACCAGAGGTACATTGAATGAATGGACATGCCTGTAGTTACTGATCATCCGTGGAAAGAGACTCCTGCTTTTTGCATTCTTGAAGAAAGAGTTACTCCCCGATCAGCCCGTGGCTTTTTAACGCAGGCACAGAACCTCTGTCCAAAGAAAGAGAGGGACAGCTCCTCTGTGGAAGGGGCAAGCAAGGAAGGAATGGATGTCCCCGTTTCAAAGCCAAAAGATTACTTTTGCATAATCATGAAAAATATGGTTTATATGCTTTTAAAGTCTCTGCGGCTCTGCTGTCAGGTTTATTGTTTTATTCTTGGCAACATTCCCTTGTGTCCAATGCTTGATGTATAATCCTTTTTGCCAGAAACACCCTGGAGGGCCTCAAGCAGCTAGATGGCACGGTTTTAGATTGTCAAGAAAGAAAGCCAGAAAGAACTCACCTCGAGCCAATTGGACTTATATTTTTAAAAATGCTGATGTTTATTCTTCTTTGAGATCCAGTGCAAAGCACCAGCCATGAGTTGCCGATCAAGAAGCAGTACTGAGTTTGAATGGTGCCTCTGCTAGGAATTCATCAAAGAAGAAGAAGAAGAGATTGGATTTATACCCTGCCCTTCACTACCCAAAGGAGTCTCAGAGCAGCTTACAAACTCCTTTCCCTTCCCCCTCCCCACCAGGTAGGTGGGGCTGAGAGAGCTCTGACTGAAACGGATCTTTTTCAAGAACAGCTCTTATCAGAACTACGGCTTGCCCAAGGTCATCCAGCTAGGTGCAAGTGGAGGAGTGGGGGAATCAAACCCGGTTCTCCCAGATTAGAGTCCACTCACTTAACCACTACACCAAACTGGAGCCAAACACAAGCCAAGTACTCCCAGTCTCCCCAACTTGCACATAACACAAGCAGTATATAGCCATTGGTCTACCTGTCAGGGTTGTTTTAAGCATAATTGAGATGGTGGTGCACATGAATGATATAAAGCACTCTTTGCATGCCTGCAGTTTGGGAGTCTTGACTGTGCGGCTGTTTTTTGTTTTTTTGATACCTTCAGCACCGAAACAGACTGAAATAGCAACAGCGCTCAAACAAGCAAACAAAGCAAAAACTTCCAAAGACCAGCTACCACTTAAAAAAGCATCAGGGACGGAGGATCCAGCCACAAGGCCCGTTGCCTGGTTCCCACAGCGGCCAGCCTGTTGTCTCAGGGTCCCGGGGTGTTTGTCTTCCGGCCCCGATACTCAGCAGCGGTAGACTGTCTCTGCGGAGGGAGGCTCTCCTCCGCTCCCGTGGCTCCTACTAGACTTCTGTCGGCCGGGAATTGACTCCTCCCCCCCATGGATAGGCCGGCCGGCTGGCTGCGCCTCTGCCCGCAGGAGGAGCTCACCTGCCGCCTTCGCTGCGGGACCAGCCCCGCCCCGCCGGGCCCGGAGGCGGAGCGGCGGTGGCGCGGCGTGTCTTGGAACCGCCGCCGCCACCGCAGAGCTCAGCCGGCGCTCGGCGTTGCAGGAGCAGCGGGAGGATGGCCGGCGGCAGCGGGGGCAAGAAGGTGGCGGCGGGGCTCGGCGCCGTCTGCTTGGCAGCCGTGGCGGGCCTGCTGCTGCTCTGCGTCCCCGCCAAGGACCTGCGCGAGGCGGCCGCCTTCAAGGTAAGCAGCGCCCGGCACCGTCCGCGTCCCCCCGCGGCAGTTCCGCCCCCCCCCGGACTGGGGCAGGAGGGCTGGCGCGGACGGACGCCCCTCCCGTCGGGGCCCAGCCAGCAGAGCCTCTCTCCTCGGCAGAGTGCGCCGGAGCATGTGCCGAGAGGCTCGGGCGAACCGGCTGGCTGGGGTTCTCCGCCCCCTCCCGCCTTGCAGTTCAAACTTGCTTTCTCTGCCCGGCTTTCTGGAGCCTTCCGGGAGGGACGCGCGGCAGTTTCACCGGTGCCTGGATTCAGCTCCCTCAACTGATTTTCTCTGTCTGATTTGCTTTCGCCCTGGGAAGACACGGAAGAGGTGTGCGACCGAGCACATGCAAAGTGCACCACCCTCTGAATGTAGAAGCGCCTTGGCGGGTGCGACCCAAGTATGCCCTCTCCACCTTTCTGTTTTCAGTACTATGCAGCCAAATGGGAGCCCCCAAATATGGGCGATGGGAGTGACCTTCTCCAGTTGCTGGTTCCCAGTAGGTGGTGCTCAGTGGTATACTGCCTCTGACCGTGGAGGTTCCATTTAACACGGCTTACACCTGTTGGCAGATGTCCCTCTGAATTTCTCGAACCTTTTTTGTTAATGTCTCAGGGCATAAACCAGGGTTCACCCCTGGACATCTACAGTCTGGGGGGAGGGAGGCGTGTGGTTGGTTAGAGGAGATGCTTTTTAGGTGCTGTTGAGCCCAGCCCCTATGGCTGGCGGTGGAACAGACAATTTGCTCGGACCTTAAATGGAACTTTGATCATCCACCACCTTTGGTCTTTTGGGGCCAGCCCCCCTCTCCTTTTCCTTCCTGAACTTAGTGGAGGGATCCGTAGCTGAATCTGGAGGTCTCTGCCAAGTAGAAAACTCCCTCAGGCTTTGGAATGAAGACTTTCATCCTTTGCTCCCTTCTCAACAAGTTTTGTGTTTGCATGAAGGTGGGGGGGGGGACAGGGACCCTGAACCCCATTCCAGAAAAGAACCGTAGTGAAATAGTCCAGTCTAAAACGTTGAGGTGGTGAGATCTGAGGGGCGTGGATTACACCTTCTCCATCTGGCTTTCTTTCTGATGAGAGAGCATGGAGAAAAGTATTCTGAAGGGGATGGAATGGGATTATCACTGGGGATGACGCTCTAACTTTTGTGTCAAGCCCTAAACTGTAGTTCTGGAGGCTGGGCTTCCAGGCTTTCCCTTGCATGTTGTCTGTTGCAGGAGCCAGCCGGGGGGACACAGGGACTGTTTGCTTCTAAAGATGCTTATGGTTATTCTGAGGAGTTGAAAATGGGGAGGATGTTTTCCGAAAGAGGACCACTGAATCAGCACCTCTGGCCTTGGGGCATTTGGCTGTTCCCTCCCAGAGCCATTGTGCAACCCCCCCCCCCCCCCCCCACACTGGCACCCCCCCCCCCCCCACACACACACATTCCAAGCATTGGCAGAGGGGAGAGGCGTTGGCTGTCTGATGGAGAGGGAATTCAAGGGAAGATGGACCCAGATCTTCGGTCCCTGACGCCCCCGCTTTCCCCCATCCCTGGCACTGCAGGCAGATGCCTGTTCCTAAATCTGGCCCTGAGCCACTAGCTTTAATAGGGGTCCACCAAACGTTGGTGCCCAAGTCAATTATTTCTACTTTCAGTTATTCTTAAAATGAAAAACGCCTGTACATTTAGAGGAAACAGATATGTTTTTATTTGCCACCCTATGACATGAATACATGCAGTTTTACAGGTCTTGGCATGCACATGTATCTTTCATGTATGATGAAGATAAATCAAATGTGCAGACCATGCAGATAAGATTCTGGTGGGTAGCCGTGTGGGTCTGAAGCAGCAGAACAAAGTTTGAGTCCAGTGGCACCTTTTTAGACCAACAAAGTTTAACTCTGGGTATAAGCTTTCGAAAGCTTATTCCCAGAATTAAATGTTGTTGGTCTTAAAGGTGCCACTGGACTCAAACTGTGTCCTGCAGGTCATGCATCAGTGTTGTGAAGTGGGCTGCAAAAACAATAGGGCTGGATCTGATTGTTCTCTTCTGCTATATGGGCCCTTCCTCCAAAGATTTCTCGTCTGCGGAAAGGGAATTGTTAAGTCAACACAGGTTGAATAAGTGGAGGTGGGCGCTGTCCAAAAAAACCCCATTTGGTCTAGACTGACTTAATACAAACCACAGGCTGAGCTGTCTCCCACTCTGTTTTCAATTCTTCATCTCAGTTGTGCTGCAGGACAAACGGTAATTAGTAATTAAGCATGAGTGCCTTTGAGCACATAGAGGGCTTTCCACCTCCAAAAAACTGTAACTGGCCCACATTCCTGTAACGTTGGAAGATAATGCTTTCAGGTTGGGGATACAGCCTTTCTTTTTAAAAACACAGGTTAATCCATCATTAGATGGTCGTCTGTCCAGCCACTGATAGCTTTTTAGAGATTAAGATCTCTCCTTTTTATAGCTTTTTAGATTGGGTAGACTCCAATACATACTCTGTTTTGGGCTCAGGACTGCCTGGTGAGGTATATCAGGCTAATGGAATGGGGGGGGGGGAGATAGCTCAGATAAGATAGAAGATATTCCAGCTGTGAGCCCTCTCCCCTCCCCTTCATGGGAAAACAATGTCTTGAGCTTTGAACTTGGAACTTGCCTCTGGTGCAAATCCCTCTAGCTGCAATTCCTCCCCTTCAGAGGCATGTAAAATCCAGGCTGTGAGTTTGCAACATACACTTCTTTGCATATCAGTGTTCAAACCAAAAGGAAGGGGGCAGTAAAGATAATGTTGAATAGGCAGATATTTAGTGAAGATGGGAGTTCTTTATAAGGGCTTGGATTTAAGAACCCTGCGGCATAGCCTTGCTCCCTGAATCAGGAGGAGTGGGTGGGAATCAGCAAAAGAAATGGAAAGCAACCTGATAGCGAGGCATTTCTTTTTATCAGTCTCCTACAGTGCTATTGAGTCTCAGTGTGCCCTAAAGGAGTAAACTAAGTTTGAAAACATGCAAGGAGAATGATAAGATGGCATTCCCTAGTGGTTAAAGGGCTTGCTCTGGGAGGACCACGTCTTCTTTCTCTTTACTGTGCACTTGCTGCTTTTGTCTTCCTTTTGCTGTGGAGTTTTTCTTCTTGTGAAGCAGTTTAAGTTAGAGGGGACCTACCTGCCAAAAAAGGGAGTGAGGATGTGGGAAAGGGAAGCCAAATGAGGATACAGCATCCATCTTTCATTTCCCCCCCAGATCTTTCAACTGTCAGGTGTTTTCCAGCAACTCCTCCCCCTGCCCCCGTGTTCTTTTCACATGATTATTTTATGTATTATTAAATATTTGGCTTCTCCCTACAGTGATGGGCAAGGAGGCTGGCTCCGGTCAGGGTAATCTGTATGAAGGCAAGCACGATGAAGTAGTAACAATCAAGCACTGAAATGAATACAGCAAAATAGGAACCTTTGTCCCAAATTAACTTGGCCAGTCTCTTTAGTCTTCCTTCTTAAAGAGTCTTGTGGCATCTGAAAGAATAATGCGCTTGCACACCTGTGTAGTGTGACTGGATCTGGAAGGGTTTAGGGTTGCCAACCTCCAGGTGGTGGCTGGAGATCTGCTGTTACAACTGATCTCCAGGTGACAGAGATCAGTTCCCCTGGAGAAAAAGGCTATCGGGAAAGGCTAAGGTTTGGGGCTGTTTGGTGTGGAGATGACTTTGGGGGATAGAATGGGGAGGGCTGCCTCCTCCTGTCATGGCCAGTTGATACATCACAGAAGCCCTGACCTTGGGCCCTTGCCTGCAGAGGTGAAGTGGGTGATTCCAGAGAGGGAGTGTTTGGCCAGGGGCACCTTGTCTGTGGAAGCCTTCTCCTTGAGCCTTGCCTGGCACCTTCCTTGCTCTCTTTTATGTGCCAAGATAAAACGCATTTTTAAAAACCCTGGACTTTCAAAAGACTTTTGACAAGGTACTTCACCAAAGACTCCTGAGTCTACTTAGCAGTCATGGTTAAATGACAGGAAGCAAACAGTAGGAATCAATGTTCCCTCTAAGCTGTGGAGTCTTGTGAGCAAAAGTTCTACTTTGTGAGCTACCAGCATTAAAGTTGTGAGTGAGCAATTTGACTGCTGCATCAGTTAGTTTGCTCTGGAGCCCTCCTTCCTGAGCGAAGACAAAAATGTCTGAGCCGGAGGGTAAAAAACTGTGAGCCAGCTCACACTAACTCAGCTCAGAGGGAACACTGGTAGGAATCAATGGGCAGTTCGCACAGTGGAGGAAAGTAAGCAGTGGGGTCCCACAAGGATTGGTATTGGGGTCAGTAGTCTTTAATTTATTCACAAATGATCTGGAACTAGGGGTGAGTAGTGTGGTGGCCAAGTTTGCGGGTGACACCAAATTGTTCAGGATGGTGAAAACCAAGGCTGACTGCGAAGAGCTCCAAGAGGACCTCCACAAACTAGGTGAGCGGGTGACAATGTGGCCAATGAAGTTCAGTGTTGGTAAGTGTAAGGTGATGCCAGCTTCCATTATAGGCTAATGGAGTCTTGCTGAGACTGAGATGGAAAAGATCTTGGGGTTGTAGCAGGTAGCTCAATGAAAGTGTCAACCCAGTGTTGCTGCAGTGGTGAAAAAGGCAAACTCTATGTTTATTATTAAGAATTATTATAGGGGTTATTAGAAAAGGGATTGAGAATAAAATGGTCAATATTGTAATGCCCCTGTATAGATCTATGGTGCAGCCTCATTTGGAACACTGTGTACAGTTCTGGTCACCGTATCTCAAAAAGGGCATTGCAGAGCTGGAAAAAGTACAGAGGAGGGCAACCAAGATGGTTTAGTGGTTTGGAGCACCTACCCAATGAGGAAAGGTTGACGAGTCTGGGACTTTTCAGGTTAGAAAAGAGACGACTAAAGGCAGACATGATAGATGGTTTATAAAATTATACATGGAGTGGAGAGGGTTGAGAAAGAAAAATTGTTCTCCCTCTCCCAAAATCCTAGAACTCGAGGG